TCATAGACTGCTGCATTGCCCCTTATAGAGCAGGCTTTTTCTACCCTTTTTATTTTTCTTCTCTAGCTTCAGGGAGGCAAGGGAAGCAGTAGATCAATAGGATGTCTTGACTGAAGTTGCCTGCAGCAGTTCCATTTCTCAGACTGGACACTGATGCTAACTATCAATAGCAATAAGAGGCTGTCTCAGACAGAATTAAGGCTCTTTCTTCTGCATGGCTGTCTGGTGCTTACTGATAAACATCTTGTGCACAGGATTGCAACAAATAAACCATTTCAAGTGTGCAAACTAGCCACTGTCATGCTTTATATTGATACTTGCTTTGGGAGTGAAGGGGTCACAGTTATTTTCTTTTAGCTAATTGGTACATGTTAGAGAACAGCGTGCAGATGGATGGTTGTATGAAGGCATAATGTTCTAAAATGCACAAAGACTGTTGATGAAATCCAATGCACTCTTAAAGAAACTCTGAGATGGCAACAAGCTACACATAGCAACTTCAAGGTAAACTACTGAAGAGAAGCTACGACCAGTGTTAACCCTTTAGTAACTGTTCATATTTAGAAACACTCTGGCTGTAAACAGGTGTCTCATTTGAGGTGGTACTGATTTAACCTGAATCAAAACACAAGTAGCACTACCATTTACACACATAGCCCTTCCAAGCTTCCTCTGCCAGGAAGAGCACACAGTCTGACAGGCTTGAATGAGCCAATTCACCTACAGAGGTATACAGCATTGTGGGGAGAAGGAGGAAAGCGTTAGCACATTTTATCTCACATTCTTCATAGGTACAGAAAGTGGGACAATGGACTGTAGGATCCCAGGACAAAGGGTCTCTCCTTTTGTCCTGTTGAGAAATGTGTTTTACACCCTGTGCTTAATATTAGACATTTTCTGCCAGACTATTTCATTTGAGTGCTATTTGTTTTCTCCACTCTGCATTCTTAAATTTGATTTATAAACATAAGCTAATAAGGGCCTCATCCCAGGGTCCTTACTTTGTGGGAGTTCTGACTGAGTAAGGACTGCAAAATTAACTCTTCATATACCTCACAAACGCCATTAAACATTAAAATGTACTGCACCAGAATCTCACCTGGCAGAAATCATTATAGCTCAACTGAAGACAGTTATTAAACAGCCAGGCCACTTCATGTCATCGGAGGATCTGGCCTTCTAAACCGAATTATTTGCTGGTTCATCAAACCAACAGAAGATGCTCAGCTGGCATAAATCAATTTTATACCTAACTCCTATGGAGGGGTGATAGTTTATACTAAAAAAGGATTTGGCTCTGATCCACCTCTGAATCAAATACAATGGTTACTTGAACCTATCAGACTGTGAGGTTTGCTTTCTTAAGAAAAGTGCAATCATTTTATTCGAGGCGCAGTCCAATCCAAAGAAAATGTTTAAGTAATGTTGCTCTCTCTTTTGTAGTCATGTTCTATACTGTTCACCAAACTGTGATGTTTTTATTGTGTGAGATTAGTTTACAGATAGTTATGATGTTGCTGAATTCTAAATGAAGATGGTTGATGCTAAAGTAAACCAGTGTTTCCAGGATTTCATAGTAAGGGATCCCAGCCCTGAACAACTCTATTAAAAATATTTACATTAGAAGACTCCTGAATACATATATCTACACATACGTGTATATACTTTGGAGGAAGTTATGGAAGAAGTTAGGAAACACAATAAAAAATAGCTACAAATCATAGACTAGTCATTGACTAATTGTCATTTTCAGGTTTTTTTAATAGCCAGATCATATCCTCTAGAAGCAGCATGAGTTAATGTTTTAGCAGTGCTTTGAAGTATTATCCCTAGCACAGAATATATACATTTTATGCTAATAGACAAAGCATGCAGTATATTCAAGTTAGGAGAAGCTGGAATTTCAAAACCAGCTTGGCTCTTCTTTTTGATTACTTTCCGGCTAAAAAGCTAGAGTTAAACTAATTCATTTTGTAAACATTCGGATCATGCATGTACAGTACATTGCACAAGTTGACATAGGACAATCTGACTGTTGCAAGTTTAGAGGCCAGACAAAAACAATCGCTTAATTTCATGCAGTAGTTAGGGGCTGATCTTAAAAGTTCTCATTCAGGAAAAGCTCCCACTTAAGTCCATGGGAGTTTGGGTTCAGAGGAATTGTGGACGAGGTTCTAAATTGTTTTGGTCTTAGGCAACAGCTCCCCCATACCTTTACAGTTGACTTTCAACAAATATTTATACAGCTCAGGGAGACTGCTAGAGCTTGCACATTTGAACACAAATATTAGACCACAACCTCAGCTAGTATAAATTGACATAGCTCCATTGAATTCAATGGAGCTTCACTGATTTACAACATTTGGACTCTTGACTCCTTTTATCAACATACATCCCAACACATAACCCATGTCAGATACAGTCTTTTTCAGAGGAGAATTGGGTATGTTTTAATAAATAAAAAAGAACCATTAAGAGATTAGTTCAATTAAAACTTGTTTCCTAGGTAGCTTTTCCCCAGTTAAGAACATCCTCTTAAAGAAAAAATGAAAGGTTGACCATAGGCCTGCTCTAGACTCTGATTGGGCAGCACTCCAGCATAGTGCTTTGTTGAACTGGGGCCATGATTCTCAAAGCTATTTTTAAAGGGGGGGGGGGGGCATAATTATCTCTTTTGTTAATTTTTTTTATTGAATCCAGGTTTACTGTTCTCAGTGACAAGCTTCTCTTATGCCTGTATATTAACAACAGTCCTACTAGGATATAAGCATATGGCCCTGAATTATAATATTTGTTGTCTAGTGTTACTAACCCAGCATTCTTTTAGAAGATATGAAGCATTCATTTTCTCTCCAAATTATTCAAGACAGGAAACATTAGGAAAGCATTTTTAAGTGTGTAAGTGAGTCAAAGCTAGAGACAGACAGAGAAATGGATTACATTACATATTTTCTACACAAACATGGGGATTAATTTAAATTATTCCCCTAAATCAAAATAACTAGAGCTTTTGGCAGCCTTTGAAGTTTAATGAATGTTTATCCTTGCCATCAAGCATAGGTTTTGGGACACCCTGCAGGACCACTAAAGCAAAATGATCTAAAGCTGTTTATATAAAATGGGACAACACAAAGATATGTGTATTAAAATTAAAAAGAAAATGCAAGTATTAAAATATGTTGGTTAATTTTTTAAGTGAATTAAAACAAAGTTACAGAATGGTTACTATTGTGGTACTATCTATATGGATAGGTTAGAACCTGTAGGTTAAATAAAGTTCTGATCATTTTAACAGTAGACTTGATATAGAACAGGTCTCCTCTATGCTGTATACAGTCTCCTAAGGCTGGTTTTGTATTTTTTTAGAGATGCATAAAAGCTGATTTTGCGCTCTCATCTTTCAGAGTATATTTGGAATTCCTTTTAAATGATTCTTATCAAACGTGACAAGAAGTACCTATTACTTAGAGACATTCAGATGTGTGTTTTCTCTGGGAGAAAATTAAATCATACCACTGGGTGTAATAGACCAGACATTGGATTTCCAAATAAACCTGATTTCTTTCACTATTAATATTAAAAACTCTGTACTGCTGAAATTTTACATAAAAATAAAAATAGCTTATTTCAGATCAACATACTTAAATAAAAAATGGGTAATATTTTCAGATAGTTTAATCTTTTGAAAAGTCAGCTATAAAAATACTTTGATTTTTCCAATGGCTATTATACACACACACACACGCACACACACACGTGCACTTTGAAAACTGGATATTTTTTATATCTATCTGGCATTCACAGCATGTCTTGCCGTTAAATTGCCACCTTAGAGTCCTTTTTTTAATTTCATTGAAAATGCATATTAAATCAAAGTGACAGACACATGCAATGTAAAGTGTCTGTCAACAATTAGATTCACGTTTGGAAGTTTGTTAAGCATAACAATTTGAAATGAATTTAGACTGAGAAGGAAAGTTTTAGCCCACAGTGCTGCAGTCTTGTACAAAGCAACCCCCAATCTTTGGTCCTTTTCAAAGTGAAATAAAATGCCATAAATACAGCAATTACGACCCCTAATGCAGCTAATCCCAAATTTGTCCAGACCTCTAATTCTTCCCATAATAAAATAGATATTGAACCAATCTTTTTATTTGAAATAAGAAAATAAGATAAAACCATGCAACTAATGTAGTCTAATTAAAATTGTATTAACACATCATTTACATGGAACCTAGGGCACAGCATACTGCAACTACTCAGTAAATTTATGAGTGCAATGTAAGTTTAAAGTGTTGTTGTTGTTGCTGTTGTTATTGGGCCAGATCAGATTCCCATGCAGTAACACCCCTGCAGGAAACACCTTGAGAAAAACTACACAGAATATTCCCTGTATTCTTCTATCATGGGGACAGGAGTTTGACCCACAAATCAAGCAGACATCTGAGAACACAGGGACCCAAAAAGGAAACAGGATCATCGGCACAGAAGCCCTGTACCTCCAAGGCAGCTTTGGCCCTGATCTAAGCAACATGGCCCTACTCCTGGGAACTGGTGTGACCACAGCTGGTCCCACAATTGCCAGTGAATCGGTGGAGAAATCTTTATGGTACAGAAAAGCCAAGGGAATGAAATAAGCCTCCTGGAAATGTGATAGCCCCAAAGTGGTATTATATTTCCAGGAGAATTTTAGCTAAACTCAAGAGGGCAGTATTAGGCATATATCCCTCTCCACTTCCTTCCCTCCCTTCCGCCTTGGATCCTTGAGGTCCAAGGAAAAGGAATCCCATCTGGGAAGCTGCTGCCCCCTCTTTCTTCATTGGGAGCAGGCAAGCTCCACACAGTAAAAGAACCCTTCAGAGAGAGGCCCAATGTGATATATGATCATGTTTGTATGCATGTAGTGCTTTGAAATCTCACATATAAATAAAACTGGTACATTAGGCTTGGGCTGCAAAGTCAGGACCCAGATCCAGATACTTCCAGATTTCTAGTCTTTTGGGGCCCAGGGTTGCATGCATGCCCATCTCTATTATTTATTGGATACAGTAAAAACACTTAACATATTGCCTGTCAGAAAATGGACACATTAGTATTATTTTTAATGTTATAATGTTTTTATTTCCAAGGAATATTCCTTTAATACTGTATTGCTAAATTTAAATTGGTATAGTCTTTGAACTAGATTCTAGTACTACAGTGCATCCTCTGTTGTGATACATGATTCCTTTAAACAGATACAATTCCAGTACTCATATGCTTGTGTACGATTCTTCCAGATTACGTTCTGGTTGCTTCTATACACTCCAGTTATGACCTTGATAGGAGTTTTACCCAAAAGAGACATGCTGTATTATCTTCTTGATTTCTCATAGTGCTCCAAAATAAACAAAAATAACTGTATTCCATCACAAGTGAAAGCCCATTGACAGCTAATAACATTTTTTTTAACTTTTTTATCTAGTACTTACATCTTCTTTGAATAATCTCTCTGAAGAGCCAGGATTACCTGTGATTAAAAGATTTAAACAGGTGCATTAAGGGACAGTATACCTAGAATATGATGGTCATTTTGTTTAGAGGCAATGAACTGTTTCCCAGACTTGTGAACCACTGAACAAAGTCCCGCAAGCTTCTATGAATAGGCAGGCAGTATCAGTTCCAGAATTTTTTGCTGTAGGCAAATTGTTAAATGTAGGCCCCTTACAATTCAAAGTCACTAGCACAGGAAAGTGTTACTAAACATTTTGCAGTCCTAGACAGCTCCCTGTTCTGTCTGGTGGTGATGGTAATGCTGGCCCTGACTGTACAGTTACCTATCTCTTGCCTATTAGGTTCACATTCATTTCACTTTGTACCTTTGCACAATTTGCCTAATTGCTTCTGCCCAGTGTGACTCTATCACTGAGAGCAGTCAGGTCTCATCCTATTCTGAGTAATTTTTTCAGTTGGTGCAAAGAAGTAGCAGTCCTGGATGCCCTAAGAGAATAACTCTGGGAGAAACTGGATATTATTATGAAAATGTTCTAAGACTGAAAGCAGGGAATAGATTAATAGCTATTCCCTGATTATGCAGTTCACACAAAACAAGCAAGTAATTGTGCCGGATTTCACAGAGGATACACGAGGTAAAACAAATGAAACAAACAAATTCTTAATATAGGTCTATTGAATTCAACAAAGTTGTAAAAAGGATGCATCTGTCCCAGTACTTCTAAAATCATTACTTTAAAATGTTTTGCTCACTTAGGTTCTGCCTCAGCGCAGAACCCTTCCTTATCTTTTGTATTCAAACCACTCTATTTAATAAGACTGCTCTGTGCATGTCCTTTTACAGCACCTGGTGAAGTAAGCTCAGGCTGACAAAAGCTTATGCATCCCTGGTTTAGTTAGTCTATAACATGCATCTCTACCGTGCCTTCTACCTGACTTCAGGCTAACTACTGCTTCAGTGCAATATAAAGCCCCAGGGTACCTACAACTGCAAGAGAGACAAGACAAAACTAGCATGTTTTAAAGGCATATGAACCTCTTTGAAGCCTAGTATTTTTGGTTAAGAAATTTTATATTTAAAATAAATAGACCTGATGCAGATTATGTAAGCACTAATTCTCATCTTCAGGGAGGTTTCTGCGCCTTCTACATTTCAAAGGTTCACTCTGTTCATATATATCTGATGCTGGTTCTGAACTGCCACTGCTCACACAACATAAGACTTTGCTTGTAGACAGTGAAATTCAGCTCTGCGTAGAGGATTGGAACAAGTTCCACTTAAGTATCACATAAACCCTGTGCTTGCAACACAGAAAAGAATTTAGGTATGAAGAGAATAGGATTGAATCTTCAGACTGCAAACTTCAGAGGGTAAAAAATGTATATATTTGCAAACCTTTATACATTGTTATTGTAAACATTAGAGGTGATATTAGCACTGGTTTTGAGCACACATTTTTCTAAAGGTATTATACATGACCTATATGAATTGCATATATAGGCTTGAAGCCTCAAGCCTTAAAGCCTAGCCAGAGATGTGTACAAATCTCACCGAAGTAATAGGAATTAGTTTCATTGACCTCAGGGGATTTTGAATCATACCTGAAGTTCTTACTCAGGGAGTAAGAAAGATCATTGGGGCTGTAATGATAGCTGGGACTGGGCCCAGATGATCCTAATCAACCCACAGAGACATTAGGGTGAACCAGTTAGACCTAACACAATTATTAGGCCAAATTCTGACCAGCAAGTTTTTAAAAAGAAAATTTGGATTTAAATGTAAGGAGGGTCAAGGCATTGATGCATGGTGAAGAGAAAAGTGAATGCAAGGTTTGGGAAAGAGCTCCTTGATTCATATGTGTAGTTTCAAGTCCACTATAGGGGATATGAAGGGATACAACCCACCTTTATGGGGTTGGAGGTGAGTTCCATTGTCTTCTGAGACAGACAAGGTTATTTGGGTAAATATGATATGTTCTGTTAGATGAACTGAAAAGTTGGAAAAATATGATTTGCAAGCTTTTGGGCACAGGCACCCTTCTTCAAGCATAGGGAGAGTCTGATGGTGTTTTCTCCAGGGTAGAATACAGCTACAACCACAGTATTGCCATCTCTCATGATTTTTGGCATTGTTCTTAAAGTCTACGTTTCAGGCATGTGAAAAACTTAGCTCTTTCTTGTATATATATTTATATTTGTACAAGAAAGAGCTAAGTTTTTCACATTCCTGAACTGCAGACTTTAAGAACAACGCCAAAAATCATGAGAGTTGGCAATACTTCAACCAACACCCCCGGAACATGGAAGATGGACTGAAGGACTTCCATGCATAGTCTTGTTGCTTGGGCTGTCTTCTGGGAAGGGTGAATTTCAATATCCTTCTGGTAACTGTATGATTTCTAGTTGTATTAAATGTCATTAGGAATGGTGTGTATAGCATTGGTTAGTCACTGTGGTATTGACTCTTTCTTGATCCAGCTGCTGAACTGTTTCAAAAGACAGCTACAAATATGCTCTGTAGCTTTCTAAAGTTACTTTTCCATGTAGGCAGTTACTGTAGTTGCTGGACGCATGTCATATAATAAAGAATGAAAAGAGAGATCATCTGCAAAATTGTGAATGGGAAAGCCAGTGGTTCCACATCTCTTGCTCAAGTTGTGCCCTGTGTGTGCGCTACAGGGAATATCTTGCAAATTCATAAGGGAACATGTTTACACAAAACCATCCAAACTTTACTCTGAGCCACACCAGGGCAACATCACAGGACTGGGCTGAGCTGAGTGCATAATTTGGATCATGAAGGCTGTATTTAATTTAGTGATGGAAAGTAAAGCATTATTCACATTTATTTTATTGCTACTAAACCAACTTTTTGTGTTGATACAAATAGTAGCACAACTATCACATTGTAAACACCAAGCATTAAGTTACTGCACCTTAATATTATGCAAATAAATTTTATGTACTTACAAAGTACTTGCACTGTATTTGGTACAACTTCTTAAAAAGTGTTAGGAAAAATGAGTTAGGTTGTCAGGTTTATTTCATCAGTCATGAACTTTGTAACTAACTCAGTCGACTTCTCTTCATGTTTGAGGCATTTATCTTACAGTATGTCTGGAGTCACTAAGCTGAAATGCAGCATCAAAATGTAAATAGGAAATGTGCACTCCTGGTAAATAGAAATTGGTAAGGAAAAGAACAGCAATCAGTTTGTCACAAGTCTCACCTTATGCTAGATGATTTACTTATAGGAACTTATCTATTAATGGGCAATTGCCACCCAAAATTGTGGCCTTGTGTTTTTAGTTGGACAGATTAGAGAAAATATGGGAAATTTTTTTCAAAAGCAACCAAATACCCAAGGAAAAAATAACATAAAAAACTAGATTTCTTCTTACTCATGCATAGAATGCTATATCCCTTACCTCAACCATCTTTTTTCACTTGTGATTTTTCACATATTTTTACTTTCTGTGTATTCTATTAAATAGTTGTGATTAAGAGGGTGGGGGGTTATTAAGAAAAAGAAAAAAAAATCCTAACTAAGGCTTTCATCATTATGGGGCTAGGTTCAATGCACTCTGAAAAACGGAGGTTTCCTCATAATAGGAAGGCACTGTTTTAAAGAAGGATGTCTGCGGGCACTCTTAGCTAATAGCCACCTCATAAACCAGTATCAGGATTAATTTTCATGGCTATTTTCTTGATCTGTACATATTTGTGTCATGCTTTTTTATTTCATACAAAGTTACTTTTGTGATGTGACACAGCCCATGAAAGCTGAATACGTCTTTGACTTCCAATGTGGGTTTTCAACCAGTTTATATACGGTTGGAGAATTCTGTCACTTCATTTCTGAACTTCTGTGTTTCTGCTGGAGGTACATTGTGGCTTTATGTGGCTTTGATACACAAATTAAATTGAGATATAAGGGGATGTGGCTTGTGAAAAAAATATCCCTTCTGGCATCAAAGAAAATTCTGTTCTCTATAGACTCCCTACTAATTCTGTCCATACATACAGTGACCACTGAATAACAAACTGTTTCAGGATGGTTGTGGACCTAAACAAACTACCTGAAATATCCTTTACTTCATCACAGCTTACTTAGACAATATTTCATTAACCTAAAATATATTGTATAAGGGAATATAGTCACAACTTTGCCATCAATAATCATAATAATGTGAAAATTAAAAATTGAATAAAAATGTATTCATATTCCCAAAATTCCAAGATTCTGTTCTTAACATAGAAATTAAGACGTAATATTGCACATAGATATTCTAGAGATAATAGAAGGATTTTGAGGGGTGTGTTTTAATTGACACAATTATTTTTAATACAAAAATTTAGAAATAACAAAGAAAAATATATGAAACTCCTTTGACATTTCATTTGTATTCCTGTAAATGTATTTCTCCTTTGTTTCTTTATGAATTAAACGTAGGAAAATGCATACTTGCAATTAAATTGAACATTACTGATGAAAGAGTGAAACAGTCTAAGCATTTTTATTTTCCTCACTTTTTCACCATCTTATGAGGAAAGACTATTTTCCATCTAGCTTGTTTACTTAGTGATTTATATATCTAAATTGACAGAGTCCTTCAGAGGCATTTGTGTTAAATTTGAAACAAACATATTTAATGCTTGTGTTGTAATAAAACAGCTAAAAGAACAGATTAAAAAGATATGCACAGGGGGTCTGATTGATTGAGGGATTGATTTTACTACTTCTCCCGTAGGTGGGGAGTGATGGCTGTAAATCTCTTGATAATCATTTCAGAAGCACCTTCATCAATAAACTCAAAAGGGACAGCTACGTGTAAAAATTTGCTGGCCATCAGGTCAAACAAAAGGCAGCAAATGTGTAAAGAAAGAATTGAATTAAATAATTCCACCTTGGCCCGTTATGGCATTAGTCATTTTCACCTCTCTTATCTTCGGGGAGAAAAACCCCCCAATCATTGTGGTTCTGTTAGATTTGGTTTTATTTTGTTTTGTTTTGGTTTGTTTTCTTTTGCCTTTAGCTCAGCCCGTATTGCTTACGATTCAATTATGTGGCTAAAAGCTTGTGTTTGAGAGCAATGATCAATTATTAGTTGTCAGTAATAATGGAGAAGGATTCAATTCTGGCTCCCTTTTTTTTTCCTAAGGAAAGATCATTAGAAAATAAATCAAAAGAGGGGGGGGGGAAGGGGAGAGGGGGA